TCTTTCTGTTGGCAGACTCTCTAATAAAGAAGTTCAATTGAATTGTCATCGTATTTTATTATTTCTTAATTTTTTTTGAAAGCAAGTTTTAAGTCTGCATGATACATTGTTCTCAAGCCGTTGATCTCCTCATATGTACAGACCGAAAACAAATAACTTTTCTATTTAACACAATCCTCTCGGACGTCCAGCCGTGGCTCATGGATAAAACTGGCCGACGTTTCACGGTCGTGTCCCTATCATCAGTTCATCAGACTCTCTAATGATGGGGACAGAGATGATTTCTGAAAGTTCGGCGAATTTTAACCACGTGCCACGGCTGATAGGCCCAGAAGATTTTTTTTTTTTTGATTCCCCGCTGAAGTTTCAGATCATTCAACGTTTCTTTTATGTCTTCAAAACGCAACAAGATTCAGATACACCTAGTATAGGCGCTTTGTTTGGTCATTCATTGTATATCAGCGTAATGGAGGCTAATTATTTTCTTTATTTCGCAGTAATGATTATTATTAATTGACATACTAAATTGGAAATCCCGCTGTCATACCACACATCAATTGTGACGTTCTTTTAAACGGGGAAACCCGCAGTCATACCACACTTCAACTGTGACGTACTTTTTAAAATTAATATATGCCTCGGTCCATTTGGCATAATGATTCGCATCGCTTGTCTGATCCGCTGATCCATCCCGTGTAAACAGTACGGTTTATTTTTGAAATAATACGAGCTGGTTTGAGGCATAACACGTCTCTTAATCCAAGAGGCGCGTTTTATTTAAGTGAACTGAACTGAACTGTACTGCTAGCTACCTACATCATCACTAAAAGGAAACGCAGACCGCAGTAGGGAATCTGGAGCCAGTGGTTTCATTCATGGCAAACGCATCCTTCAGTCAAGCCGTTTGATGATCTGATAAAACGGTATTTTCTGACAGAAATACAAAAGAGAACCGAGTGTGTCATGGGTATCAAAGAGACCGCAGAACGCCATTAATTTTTTTAAAAAAGGGACTTGTTTGATAGGAAGCACAACATAAATGTGCTTAACATTTACCAGTGTGTTACTTAGGTGTGTCTACCGTTCTTAATGTTTCTAATGCTCACTTCGAGGAGAAATGTTTGTTTTTTTCTTATTTCATCGTGTCTGAAATCTTCCATTAATAAAACCCGTTAGTTTCGATGTCCGATTGAAAGGTGGTCTTCTTCAGAAGAAAAATTACCTTCATTTCTTATCGCGATATCTGGATTGTAAGACATTAAAATCATTTACTTTTAAAGCGCAGTACTACCTATGTGTATCACATTTAACATCCAGTAACTCAGCATTGTAACACGGCATCTTTGTTTTATTTTAGTTTATCTTGACGTAAGCATTAATTTTACAGTCACGGCACTTATGTTTGAAGGTTAAGTGATGATGTCTATAATACATGTAATTTGTATAAAATCATGCACTTGTTTGTATGCACGTTCTTATATTCCAATGCACTGCACTTTATGCAAGGTTTTAACATGTAGTTTATTTTGATGTTGTTCACCAATATTCAGTTTCTTCTTTTGTCTAGTTTAATTAAGTCCGTATGTAACAACGTAATTTTGTGTTTCGTGTAAAAACACTGATTTTTAAAGATCCGGATTAATTTCTTGGTAATAACAGAAATTTCTCATTTTGGATTTTGTTTCTCTGGATTTTGATTCCGTGTAGTTTATTATGTTGTTACCAACGTTTTGAAGGAACTTATCCCTTCCTAGGGGAGGCCCCCTGAAATGTTGGCAGTCATGTTTACACGTATGATGTGAAGCTTTCACGGCGTAAGTATAATAAATTCCTCTCTGGCTACCAGCTTAATGAAGAAAACACCAACGTTTCGAGAACCATCTTCTTCACTAAGCCACCTTACACGGCTGGTAGCCCCAGAAGAATGTATTATAATCATGTTTACACATTTGACGGTAGACATATAACTTAACATTAGTTTCTGCAGCCCCTGTATCCACACGCATGAACACAGCATCTCCCTAATCCTTGCTCGCTGCGTATAGAATTTAAATACTCTGGGAGTCATACATACAGTTTAGTTGTGTAAGGGGGAAGGGCGTTATTGTGTGTTACAGTACAACTTTCGGGCTCACCTGTCAGGTCGCTCGATTGGTTAATAGATAAGTGACAAGGTTCCCCAGGGATAAACGGCAGTGAAGGTATTTATTTGAGCATCGATTTTGTCATCACGGAATGGAATTTAGAGCCGTATTGCGTATATGAAAGTATATGTGTTAACACAGCATCACATCGTAACTTGTTATACCCTCGGGGATGTTTCTTTCTTTGCATTGGCTGCATGAGTGTGAAGTAGAATGAATATGGATGTATCCCTGTGGTGTTGAATAGATGTGGGTTGGACTGATTCGTCTGGTTGACGGGGTTTGAAGCTGCTGAAGCTACGTAAAAGCCAACATATCGCGTTTGTCTTCTGTAAGTTTTTATTTTGTACATCGTACATCATTGTCCTTGTCTTTACGGATTGCGGACTTTAATATCTGTGTTGGATACAGAACTTCTTATTTCTCAGCTTCTCCTCCGTCTCCTTCCACTAATTTGTGTTCCATCTACTGATAATCAGACATGAACTTGCACAAGAAACATTAGTCCTTTTTATACTCTGCCTTTTAACATTCAAATAAGTGAATTACTAATATTTTATACAGTCAATTCTCAACATCTTTTACTTATGTTGATAAGTGTTCTAATTCCCTCTTGGACTTTGAGAATTTAGTGCTGATTCAGCCCTCAGGATTTTTTTCCATCTCCATAATAATTTCTTTCGTCATTTCCCGCCATATTACACTACTTTCATAATACAACCGATTTTACCCATTCTATCTGCATGGAATTTCCAGGCACGATAAATTTTGATGTAACGTTGAGCTAAATTGTTTCTGTTATCTACTTTTCTCTCCTCTGGCCCCCTTTTCTTCTCTCTTCTCATCTGTTCTCGTCTCTTCTTATCTCTACTCTTTTCATCTCTTCTCGTCTCCTCTCGTATTCTCTTCTTTTATCTTCTCTCTTTTCTTCTCCCTCCTTCTATTCTCTTCTCCCCTCCTTTCTCCACCCAAAACTCTTTCCTTCTCCTCTCTTCTCTCCAGTCCTTTTTATCTTCTCTCCCCTTTACTCTTCGCGGTGTTGGGTTGGGTTAGGTTATGTTAGGTTAGTTTGTGTTCGGTTCTCACCTTTCATTCTCCTCTTCTCTCTTGTCCTTCCCTCTTCGCTTCTCCTGTCTTCACTACTCTTCTCTTCCCTTCCATTCCGTTCTCTTATCTTCTGTTCTCCTCTCCTCTCCTTTCTTCTCTCCTTTCTTGTTCCCCACCGCATTCCTGTATTCTCCTCTCCTCTATGCTCTTCTGTTCTCCTCTGTTCTCTTTCCTTCTCCTGTATCTTCTTTTTCATTAGGTTAGGTTGGGTTAGATTCTCTGCTTCTCTTCTGCTCTCTTCTCTCTTCTTCTTATTCTTCCATTATTAATTTAAATGACTATCCTTCTCCATTCAGGTCTCCTGTTTCTTAATAATACTCATCCTGGATCACAGCATAAAGTGGCTACCTTGTGTTGTGTCCCTCTTGCCACAAGCGGCTTATTTTTATTTGTTTCGCTAGTTTTCTTGTTTCTTCTACGCATTTGCAGGGATATGGTGAAAAAATATTTGCCTCTCTCTACCTAAGGTGAAACTCAAGTTGCTTAACCTGGATTGGTGATACAAGTGAGCAGTCGTATTCAGGCTTTGGCCGCCTTACCCGCGCACTAATTAGACTGAAGTCTGACTGGACCTCAGCGCTTTTCTAGGTGTGGCAGCAAAGAGAAGCATACACCCCTAAACCGAAAATCTAACTCGGCGTTTGCCGGTTATTTCGCCGACAAAGATGTCTGCGACTGTGTGGCGTGGTCTTATGCTTTGTACACTTGCCTTAATATCAGTTCTGTAGCTGTCTTGGTCATTGTTTCTGTAAGGTTTAATTATAATTCGGTTAACAAAATCTACTTCCGCTATCTAGCGTTACATATTAAATGGAAGCAAGATTTGTATTTGTAGCAAAGTTTTGTAATAAAAGTCACTGCATGCGATTTATCGAATGAACTTACAGGTATAATCATTGAGGTAAACAGGTTTTTGTGGTCCACATTTAACTTTCAGATCAAGTTTATGTCTTGTGGAACTGTTGAGAAGTAGCGTGTAAATCAGAATTTTCCTACAAAGCATTACGGCTTCAGACTGAGAAACTGGTGTTTACAAGTTCGAAGACGCATTAATTAGTTCGCAGTCCCGTGAAATTTTTACGATATGGGTACCGATCTTTGTAGCAATCTGATTTAAAGTACTTTCGATCTCTCACTGCTGGGACACATTCTGAGAACATTGTGACTAAAATACCAGAATTAGGAAACAGGAAATATTTTGATGGCAATTTGATTCGTCATTGATTTCTTAAGTTCTTGTGGGCTTTTTATTGGTTACTTGTGGTCGAAGTTCCGTACTCTGAGGTAATTGAGAATCTTCGCCTTAGTTGTGAGTTTGATGCGACGTGAAGGTGTTCTGCTTTTGTTTAACGTGCCCCTTAATCCAACGCGTTTCGCTGTTCTCCGTCTTTCTGCCCCCTCTGCCTTCACCATTCGATCATTCATCCTTGTACCTTGCAACGCCGTCTCCAGCCAGTAGTACCACGTCATTATGATCTAAGTCATTTAGTTACCCGGACAACCAAAATAACTGAACTTCGATTACCTGGCATCGTTTTTATTCATCTTCTGCGTCCTGACCACGGTTGCTGCGTCGCTGCCACTGAGCAAGTCACGTGTGAAAGGTTCGGCGCGCGCGTCCTTCCGATGCCTCTCCCCGTTCTCTCCCCACCGTCGTCTAACCCCCGGTCTAGTGCTGCTGGTCGCTGCTTGCCGCTGAACGTGTTCCCCGCACCGCCGTCCCCGAAAATCTGCCACCGTGCGCTTTGCCCCATCGCCGTGGATCTGAACGCTCGCCCCGACCTTTCTCTCAGCCCGCTAAAACCGGGGCTCTTAGTGCGAGATTGGGAAGCAAAGTCAGCCGGCTCTCTCTTCAGCTACATCGACATCGACACACGCAAACCAAACCGTAAGTTATCTATCGATTATAATCGATTGTAGCTACTAGTAGCGTAAATGTTGTATCGATTAATTGCTATGCGGGACAAATGTGGTTGCATTTGTTTTTATGTGCGTTATATTTTGCATTTGGTTATGGAAATGACCGTGCTAATGTATAATTGATAGGAGAAGAGAAGGAGGAAGCGAGGTCTACCTATATCGATACATATCGAACCTTAGTCGTATAGGAAGTTGCTAAGAAAATCGACTGTGGTGCTAAAGTAGGTTTGTCGCAGGGTGAAGGCATGGAGGGGAGATACCGGAAGTATGCAGCCAGTCAGATTGTGATTATAGCCTCGTAACCAGGGGCTGGAGATATAAAATGCAATGCCCGTCTTTTCAAAGGTGAAGTATCAGACGGTGTTAGTTGTCCTTTGTTTTCTGTGTTCACGATGTCTGCTTTGTCTAGTGTGGAATCTTCTAGTCTATAACAGTCATACAAGATTCATTTTGATTTTGTACACTTGCCCATAATGTTCAGATCTTGAGATGTGGAATAGTAATTTAATTCTTTTTTCTGCATAATACAAGCATATCGCATTAATTTTAGGCAACATCTCGTAATTAATGTCTTTATACTTTTCAGATCCCTTGCAGAGCTAATATCAAAGCACATAGAATCAGCTGTAGGAAAAATAGGTCTAAGGCATGACAGAACAATAATGTTATTTAATTGCTTATCATTACTATTGAAACACCAAAGTATGTTGTCTATTATCGAAGCATTATATATAGTATTCCATAACCGGAAGGGGCAGTGCAACCCATAGTGCACCCAATGTATAAGCTTATACGTTTTGTAACAGTTAAAGTACACTGCATATATACAGGTGCAATATTATTAAGTAACCTGTTATATCGCTTTAAATGTATGGTTTTTGAATGCCGTGAAAAACTTATTAAAGTAGATGGCACGGTTTTTTTTAAGTCGCGTGTTTGTTTTTATACACGCAAAAAGTTGCAGTGACCTCTTGATGGCCCTACATCAGAGAATTAATTTCTTCAGTGTTATCGGGTTCTGATTAATGCGAGAGTACAACACGTTATCAATCACAGTCGGTTTCTTACTCATGTCATTTCACGCTAACCTAACCTGGGTCACTAGTTCGTAGTTGGGAGGGGTCATCGCTGCTTTTGCGTAATGACATCTCAGGGATGTACAGTCTTATTCGGATGTGGACGTAGCCAAGAATTTGTGAGGGTCCAAACTGTGGATTAACCCTATTATTTGTCAAATGCAAAGCTGTTTAGCCTACTTCCAAAATTTATAATGGATATGCGTATATATAATCTCATAATTCCTGTGTATGACCTGAACATATTTGCGGATATACACGAAACTTTGTGTAAGTGCTGTGTCACTTGATGCTGCTATAATTTTCTGCAACTAATAGTCCCAGTGAGACTGTGACGCCAACGTTTGAGATTCAAGACCACTAGTGTCACTTAGTGTATGCTAATACTTCCGCACGAAAGATTTTACTGCGGTTCGACTGTTATAAACATGGCGCCGGTGCGAAAGTACAAGATCTTGTCTGATAAATATCGCATAATTGTATTCTTTATGTCTGCTAATTGAAATCATACACAGAAATGAATCGCTGAGTTATTTCTTGCTTCTTTACTTTTAAAATTATTTTACGTACTTTTCGCAACGACGTTTGTCTCATCGCGTCTGTCTGTCTGTTCGTCCATTTGAATGTTGTAATTTCTCTGTGGTAGGGCGTGTGTTGCCTAGAACCATTATTAATATTTAAATTTTGTTTGGAACTATTAATCATGTAGAAATACTTTATTTTTAGGTATATCTCACGAACTATTGGAGAAGTTGAAACATTTTCAATTGCAAGTAAGTTGAGACATTTTGTGTTTAATGTGTTTTGTGTATTTCGTTTATAAACGTTGCTTTTGAGACTCTTGTACAACTCAGATGCTGGTTTTGTTTTTAAAATCTTAGTTTCTTAGTCCGTTTCTATTGTAACGTGTAATTTCTTCTGTTGAAAGTCTCGAATTATTAACTGTTTCATTTGAGAGACAACGGTGCATGTTTATTTAACTGATATTCTCGAATTCCAAATTTATTCGCAGACAAGAGAGTGCTATTAAGCGAGATAACTTGTGTGCAGCATTGAAAGGGTAGCGTGAACGTATGTGTACGAAACGAAATTATTTGTTGTATATTTTGCCATATAGTGTTCTTCAAAGAAGTAACTATTCAATTGTTACAATTTATCTTCTGTATCCGCTGACAGCAAGGCAGTGTGATACAATCGAGTTACGTGATAGTAGTTTTTCTTCTTTATTCGAAATAAATTCGGGGTAGAATTGTGAAATGGGTCACGTATAGCTCCTACTAAATATACAGAATGTTCGTGATTGTATCTTCTTAGAAAGGTTGTGGAATTGTGAAGTCTGTAAGCACGAACAATCACTTGTTCGTATCTCATCCTTGCATGTCATGAATACCAATCATGTAGAAAGAAACTCTTACCTGGTCTCGAAACTGAACGTTCCCATATGATCCGTTTGCATAAACGCTGGATATCATTCTGATGGCACGTGTATTTTAAATTACCATCATAAACTACAGAACCATTGTGTCAGCTGGAAATGTATTACAAACTCTGGCCCATAGTATATAAATTCCTGAGCTTTTGTGTTGTACAGATCTTAAAATATGAATATTTGTGCCACTTGAAAATTAATACGGCATTTGTATGAAACTGTATATTGGGAACAGCACGCGCGGTATGGAATTTTGATTCGTGAGGAATGGACCGTAACATTTGCTGAAAAAAATGTAAATTTTTGTTGCTTGAATTTTTAATCAAATAAGTTATAATTCAAAAATCCTGTGTTACAAATAACGTCATTGAACATGGAGCTCTAAGCTTGACACTAAAAAAGCTTAAGGAAATATATATTTTGTTTAAATAGAAGATAATATGGCGGTCTTGCGAAGTACATGCTGTTTCATGTCTGACGAACCGTTGTAGCAAGGCAGCTACGTCAATACGTTTCGAAGTAGCGTGATTAGAAAATACGCCCATCTCTGTTTGTGTGAGATCTGGCGAATGTATCCGTTAAATGAAGTATTTAAAATTAATGTCGGACAACCCCTTCCCCCCCCCCTTCCTAAAAGAAAAGGAAGGTAAGAAAAGTACATGAAATGACCGTCCATTGGAAAATGTGAACTGTGTTTTAAACATTTGTTGTGTAATGGGTGATAGCATTAAGTTTAGACCTGTATGAAGGTAGTTGGTTCGTATCTTGACCAATGTGGTTTCTATTTTCAATAGGCGAGCGTTCGGTTAGAACGTAAATCAAAGGGATGCTACTTATTTTCCATCCAACCTTCTCTAGCGCAGTAAGTACGGAAAATTGCCAATAAACATAAATACAATATAAAATGACGAGCAGGAAAACACCGAGAATAAAGGAGGAATAGTACCTTAGAAAAATAACCTTTCATTTTGAGAACGAGGTGTTTATTAATTTTAATGTCATGTGTAATGACACACTTACACGTAACTTGATGTCATGTTGAGGTCAGCGCCATATTCGAAATGTCCTGACTGGATTTTAACCTCGGCCCTGTGATTGGCTATTCGGGCGGAGATATTTCCTGGTTGTTTTGGTAAGTGCTTTGTTAATACATTAACTTGTCTGCCTCCCAAACAGTGATTTATAGTCATAGCTTGCCCAGTTCATAAAGTGCAGATAAATAAACGAATAAATTAGTCTTTCTGTAGCTTTACTCGCGTCATCAAGTTAGGTATTTGGATAGTACCTTACGTAAACCACGACCAGTTGGTTTTACATCTTCTCTAATTTGAAGCTATTAACCATAGGCACTGATTTAACATATTAATCGGTCATGTGTGTTGTTTATAAATGCCGTTAAATAAACCAAGTAGCGAGTTTATTTTTTCGATTGTTGTGGGTGGTTAACAGCGTTTCGGGTGTAATTATTGCCTCCATCTTCAGGGTTAAACCTCCTTTTTTAACTTAGGTTGCCACGTATAGATATCATGGCGCCATAACAGCGGTGAGGTACTCTAAGCTCAGAAAGTTTTTTTTTTTCCTGAGTTTTTTTCCCAAGCTTAAGCTAAAATATTTCGATACTGTTGAAGCAGGCCACTACCCGTCCTCCTCTGCATTAAGCACTCATAATCGAGTTTATGTCGCGATCGTACAGAGCACCTTAAGTTTATGTTGTTTTGTTAAGACACGGTAAAGTATTAAACCGTTGAAGACGCAGTTCAGTAAGCTTTGCGAACAGACCTGACATGGCGTACCGCGTGGAGTCTTTTGCGCATCCAGATGCTTGCTTGTCAGCAATTCAGGATCGATGAAATGTATAAATGCACTTCTCCTGTCACAAGAAGGACTTGCCAAACCGATGGGCCCCTCAAATGTTCCGCGTGACGGCAGAATCTCCTTTTCCCCAAATCATATTCTGCTGTAATGTGTGTGTGTGTGTGAGAGAGAGAGATAGAGAGTGAGGGAGGGGGCTGCAGTATCTAATACCTTTTTACGTTGCCATTTGTATAATTTTTGAAACGTGTTATATATTACAGATTGTAGGTAAATGTAACATATTGATAGCATTTTAAGGATGAGTAGGGGATGTCGATCGTAGGATACAATCAAAGTATGAGGATTAGGTACTGCTATTCTGAAGAAATAAGTATATCGAGGCAGGATAATTTCAGAAAGAAACGTTAACATGATGATGACAAACGTTCAACAAAATCTCCCACGTTTTCTTAATTGATTTCACGGTTGATTTATCTATTTCTCTGCTTAATATTTACGATTACAGATTTCCTCTACCTGTAAATTTTCTGGAATGACATGGTACTATCTATCCGCAGCTATGTTTGTGATGTTTAGCCCGCCAATATTCGTACAAAATTTTAGATGTATGAGTGCTATATATATATATATATATACATACCACATGTCATGAAGATTTCTGTCTTCTGGGTTGTTGCGCTCTGATGACGGAGGCAGTATGACCTCAGAAACGTTGGGAAACATCGACCAGACTACACAGCGCAACAACCCAGAAGACAGAAATCTTCATACTCACCGCCCTGATGACGGAGGCAGTATGACCTCAGAAACGTTGGTAAACATCGACCAGACTACACAGCGCAACAACCCAGAAGACAGAAATCTTCATACTCACCACCCTGATGATGGAGGCAGTATGACCTCTGAAACGTTGGTAAACATCGACCAGACTACACAGCGCAACAACCCAGAAGACAGAAATCTTCATACTCACCACCCTGATGATGGAGGCAGTATGACCTCTGAAACGTTGGTAAACATCGACCAGACTACACAGCGCAACAACCCAGAAGACAGAAATCTTCATACTCACTGCTGTGGAAACCTCAAATCTTACACCAAATGTCATGTTAGCACAATTTAAAGATCCCTGGCCCTGACTGCGTGTGTTATAGCAAGACCCTGCTCAGACGGAACAATGCAGCGCAGTTGTCAATTCTTAATTTGAACTGCAAACGTTGATACATGCGGTGGGAGGAGTGGAGCTGTGCTCGCAAATAAATAATACAATTGGCAGGGAGCCTGTCATTGGACGTGACTGCCGATGTTGTTGCAAGGTCAGTTCTGAGATCTGGTACAAGGGTTAATTGAATCGCGAGTTATTGTAATATAACAAAATACAGGTACTTGTTTATTTCAGGCGCGTTTGGTACTAAGAATTGTAAAAGTGAACCAACTAGTGTCGCCTTACTTTTCTCTCCATCTGTACTGATGTAACGACTCGAAAACGGCTTTAC